AGAGAGGGCAGTGCAATGAAATTCTCTTTGGGCAACGTATTAAAATGGCTGTTAACAATCACATCTATAATTAATGGGCCTTGTCTGAGTACTGGAGGGAAGGATGTATTCCCTATCTTGGTAAATGATACAACCACTGGGGAAGTCACCCAGGTCAAAAGCTCAGGAGTCACCCGTACCTCCTGGTTTACAAAGAACTGAACACCATCAGACTGGTGTCTCTCTCAGCATCTTGCCGCCAAATCTAGAAAGCTACCAACTTCCAAAATCTCCCACCAATTCCTCTTTTCTTCCTGTTACAATTGTTCTCTTGTCCACTCTCTTACATGTTAAATCTCTCCTCTTCTGTGTCTCTTTCTCATCAAAATTTAAGGTTGCACAAGTTCAAGCTCTCTAAAAACAAACTGTATACACATTCCCTTTCTGGGTCAAATCCCTTCTCCCTCGATAATCATATTAACTCCAGACATCCTTGACAAACTACCCTCACCAACTGTTCCAGTTTGTTCAGTTCTGAGCCTTAATCTAACCCAGTTCCTGCTTTATCCCTCTTGCCCTCTGCAAAGTCACTAGATGGAGACCCAGACCGGTCCCTTGGTGATGGAGAATCTGTTCTCATTAGGCAGAGCACCTGACACTTTTGACTCTCCTTTCCTTCTTGAAACTCTCTAGGTTTCGTGACACGCTTTCTCTTGGTTTCTTGATTCACTCCCTGAGTAAATTCACCTAATATTCCAGGGTAGCTGCTCCTTCTGACAACCCCGCCCTGCCTCCAAAATAATGTGCATTCATGAAAGCTCCAGCATGTTACTCCTGCCCTTCTCCTCTAAGACTCTCAAGTGAGTTCACCTTTTCCTTCTATATATGGGTAATTCTGAAATCTACTGGGTTGGCCAAAAAGTCTGTGTGGTTTTTTTTCTGTAAAATAAGACAACTTTTAAAATTTTTCACCAATAACTTTATTGATTTGGATATTTTGAGTATGTCAGCTATCTCCCACATGGCAGCAGGTTGATTTCCTCAATTAATGTCTCCATTTGATCGTTATCAACCTCAAATGGTCCACCTGACTGTGAAGCATCATCCAGCAAGAAATCTCCAGCACAAAAGTTTGCAAACCACTGCTGACACATTCAATCAGTCACAGCACCTTTTCCACACACTGCACAAATCTTTTGCATTTCAGTTGCATTTTCACCTTTCTTGAAATGACAGAGCACAATATATGCAAAAAAATGCTTATTTTCTTGTTCCACTTTCGATATTAAAATGGCCACACAAAAATTTACCAATGTTGATGTATTTTTTAAAAAATACACACTGATATGACAGCTGTCATAATACAGTCTAACAAAATTGTTTCCAATAAACTTAAAGACAGCTAAGGGCTACTAGAGCCATCTGACAGAAAAAAAACAGACATTTTGGGCAACACAATACTATCTCCGCCCTGCTGACCTTTTCATGAATATCAGATCCATAAATACAAGGCTCTCCCAGCAATTTCTCCTTAGATGTTTACAAGCAACTGACATTCGACACGTCTAAAATCAAAGGCATTACCTTGCACGTTGCCTCCCACACCTGCTGTTTTTCCACTATTCCCTATTATGAGTCCATTCATTTACATAATATACATATGTGTATAAACACATGTGTGTGCACACACATGCATACGTGTGTATAAGTACATGGGTACATGTGAGGCGCTATTTTCACCACACAAGGTACCACATGCAGATGCGCCTGCACAGTCTGGTCTGTAAGGGTTCCTGGCCCAGCGCGCTCACGACCCCCTAGGCTGGTTTTTATTCTCTTCACACTCCGGACCTCTCTTCCTTCTGCTTCACCTTTCATTAGGTACCCATGGTATGATTATATCTTTTTCTAACAAAACAGCTTTTAAGTTGTGCATTTAAATTTTTATTTTCTAACAAAATGCTAACATTTTAAATTCCACTAACATATTGTTTATTCAGGCTCTGGTGCCTTGGATGATTTAAATCTTGAGAATGATCTGTATAAAAATACCAATAAATTAACACTTAGCACGTGTTTTAAAAAGAAAAAAATCTTTAGATGATGTTATCAATTGGCCTTGATCTTGATTTCAAAATGGATCCTTCTCTTCAATTTCATACGGGCACGGGAACGCTGTTTAAGTGCTTAAGATAGTATCTGGTACCTGGTAAATTCTATGCCTTCTCATCACTGTGTTATTGTTATCAGGATACTGATTTGCAGAAAACAGGAAAAACACATGAAATCAAAATTTCAAGGTGATAAATACAGTTGCTGTAAATGATGCATTTAGTATGGCAGCTATTCAAAGAAATTTAAGGAAAATAATGTGGTCCTGCATTTGTGACCTGTATTTCTGCTACCCCTACCTGGTACATTCCTATGCTTTTAGGATTAACTTGCTACTAACATATGTAGATTTTTTAAAAACTTTGAAATTACTATAAAAAACATGACTAAGTAGCAGTGACCATTATTTTGGAATTCCATCAGTTTTCACCTATTCCCTGAACTCAGATATAATCTGAATTCAGATACACTCCCGATTCCTACAGTCCAGGGGAGAAGTCACGATGTGACTAACAAACAGTTAGACTTCAGGCTCCCCAGTTTGCCTCCAAGGGTATACTGCATAAACCACAAACAGTAAGTGAAAATTCCTTGTACTGAGGAATTCTAATCCCTGTCTGCTACATTTTAATTAACATTGCTACACTTGACCTGCCTACCACTGGTCAATCCTTCACTGGTCAGATCCTTCGTAGACTGAAAATGGTAGAAAGGCACCTTGACTACAGTAACCTGAAGAAGTATATAAATGATAAATACATAAACTCAACTAGTAAGTTGTTGCTTATTTGTTTAAAACCCTAAGTTCCACGAGCTCAGACAGGGTACTTCTGACCACTGTTGCCTGCCATAGAGGTGGCAGGCAACACAGACATGCCACCGATATTCAGGAATAGCTGTAAACACTGCATTAGTGCTAGTGCTTTCATAGTGCAGTACTTTCTACACACAATACTACCCCATCGGTATTTGTGAACACAGAAGTAACAGCACTCTGACCGCAGAGTGAAACCACCGTCTGGTACCAAAAATCGGAATCTCAAGTATGAAATAATCCCAGAAATAAATAAGGGAAAATACAAAATCCTCATGATGCCTGGCAATTAAAAAATGAACACTAACACAGATACCTAATCAGCAACACTCCTGCTCTCTAACTGCGATGTCCTCCCCCGAAGCTGAAGCAAAGACGGGTTCAGATAACTGTTGGAAGTCACTACTCTTGTCGCATGGAAGGAAAACAACAAGAGCGAGGCTGATTCAGCTACATTAGTATACTGTCACATGTACATATTCTTCAAATTATCTTGTACACTCACAGAGAGAAACATTCAGAATCAGTGTTCTTAAAAGATTTTTAAAATGAATGACGAGAAATAAAGAAAAAATATCTTGTCCAAGAGACTATTTCCTTCGTAACTGCTGTGCTACGACCCCAGGGGCTCCCTCCCAGGCCTTTTTCTAGATCATCCTCTTCTCCTCCACTTCTAAATAGTGAAACCCTGGGGCTACATGCTTAAGCCTTTCCTAACTACCCTTTCTCTCAGTGAATCCAGCCATTCCTAGGCCAATAGGATCTGTATCTCCACCCACCTCTCCACTTAATTCCATACTTGTATGTCCAAATGGCCACTTACCAGCACCGCTTTGCTATCAGATAGCTATCCCAAAGTTATCACTTACAATACCAAATTCTCGATCTGCTACTACTATTGCAAACTTACTAGTGACCTCTAATCTCCTATATTGGTTACCTGAAAAACACAGTGCATCATTCATGGAACTGCTCAAGCCAAAATCTTTAGGGTCCTCTTTGACTCTTACATTCACCTAAGCCATCTACAGATCCCTCCATCCGTACCTTCATAATACGCCCCGCCCCTCCTTATAACCATGGTATTAGACCAATCGGCTCTTGTCTGGCCTCTGCAGCAGAATCCTAACTGGACACTCGCTTTTACTCTTCTCCCCAAAAGCCTGTTCATCTGGAGTCAGAGTAGTCCTTTAAAGACAACTCAGAGCATTCCACTTCCCAGCTCTCGAACTGAGCAGCTTGCTGACATTCTTAGACTCAAATTCAAATCTTTACATATCATGGCCTGTGAGGCCCTGCACCATCTGGCCCAGGGATATCTCTGAATCCTTTTTTTCCTTCTCCCACTCATTTAAATCTCCCCAGACACAGGAGCTTTTTTCAGACCTTGAACATGCCCAGTACATCATACTCTTAGGGTCTTCAAAAGACCCTTGACCTTGTACCTGGAACACTACGAAGGCTGCTGCATGGTTTGCTTCTTCACTTTACGCAGACCTCGGATCAAAGACACCTTCCCATCCCCTCTAAGAGAGAATACTGCTCCATCAGCCTTTCTGTCTTTATCTTATTTTTCTTTAAGCCAGTTCAAACTGATGGACACAACACTGTATAATTTTTTTCTGCTTCTATTCCATTTCCCCCATTAGCATACATGCTTCATGAGAGCAGGGACCATGTCTGTTTTCCATTCCATCATCACCCTGTCCTCAAGAGCTATAACAGTACTTAGCTATGCATGAATCACATGCAAAAATAATTCAGGGTATTATTTTTTTCCTCATATAACTACCTTGGAAATATATTTACAACTACCAAAGTGCTTCCAAATACTTAAATGAGAATGTCCCAAAGGCATCTAGGTCTACAGAAAAGAACAATAATTGGTCACACTGAGATTGTCATAACAAATATGAAAACCCGTGAGCTTCACCGGTGTGTTCTTTCTCCTGAAGAGTATATAAATACACACCCACAGACTTCAGAAAAGTTCTAGCAGGCTATAAAATAATGGGTTCTTTCCCACGGAGATGAACAAAATACCCTACTCCCTAGAATTATTCCAATAAAAGCCAAAGACAAAAAATGCACTTACCTCCCTTTTTCAACCAAGAGCAAGATATCCACTTTTTCCCCATTTTGAACCATTGTGCTGATTGCTAGAGGGAGAAAAGCACCACCATATTTATTAATAATATCTTACTAAATTCACATAAAGGCATGCTTATTGATATCCCTTAGTCACGTGTTTGAGGATGACCTTCCTAATTTTATATAAAAGTTACCATTACACATAGGCAATAAGAAATTGTGTCCAAAAATGTACGATGAGGGAGAAAAAAATCTTACTTAGCTCTTGCAGTCTTCTTAAGTTCATTCTATCTTCCTGGACTTCTTGCACCGGAAGGCAAAAATGCAAACTAGACTTGTCCATGGCAAACCAGCCTTTCCTCCACTGATCCAGGGCCTGGCAGTCTTTGTAGTGGAGTTGACCAATCAAATCATAGTCAGCTTTTGTTAAGTTTTCAGCAACAAGGGGAACAAAATGCTGTTACAACAAACACAGAAAAGAGATAAAGACGGTGAAAATAGGAAATCCCTTCCCTATCTACAAATGTGGGGCAAAGTGGAAAAATTACCTTTGTTTTTCTTTTAAGGATTTCAAAGTTACCCAAATTTTCAAAACAGTTTTTTTAAACTTGCTCTCAGTCTTAAACCTGAACAGCTGATAATGTATTTTTCAAATGGCAGCATCTTAAACCATTTTTCTTGATATATACATCCTATTTGTTGATGTGTGGTGCTTCCCAAATTGTCAACCCCCGAGGTTTGTATTCCTTTGCATCTTTTACTGAATCTGCCCATGTCCCTTTGTGCACTAATAAGGTGGCTGCCCATAAAAAGACATGCACAGAAATGACTTTACAATACTGAAAAAAATCTTCATCATCGAAGTATGACCTTTATTTGAAGAATGATTTCCCCAAGGTCCTACATTAATTTATTTTCTGCTTAAGGCTCTAGGAATGTAACTCATAACCTCTTCATCACCACCTTTGAAAACATAATGAGGTCTGAACATTCTCAGAATCTTGTATGAAAGTCTTGAGGACCCCTAGAGCTCAGCCACAGATCCCAAGTTGAAGAACTTCTCTGGGTTTAGGGTAATAACACGAGAGTTAGATACCTTAGCTATCGCCTCTGTCCATTTTCTTTGGCTTTCAGATGTTTCAGCTCCAAATAAAAACACGCGTTCGGAGGGCAGATAGATCTCAAAGGTAAAGATGGGCCTGCAGCAACAGTGAATAAAAAAGACACCACTGGTTACGTTCGGCTCTTACGAAAACAAATCACATGAAGGTGAGTTTTTAGATGAAATTCATTTTGAAAACTGGGTAATGCTGTGAAATCAATGTATCATGTTTTTCTTTTACTCCACCCTATTTTTCTGTTGGCAATCTGTCTTCATTCGAATGAGTTAAACGGCTCACCCTGGATCGTGTGGACGGAACAAACAGCCTTCCGACTGCTCACTCACTCCACTGCCCGACCTTGTCCTGCCCGGAGGCTCCCCACTGGCTTCGGTGGCACCGGCCTTTCGCCAGCTCATCTCCCTTCTCAGACCAGTCCTTTACTCCGACCAAACTGTTCAAAGCACACACTGTCCAAATGGTTCTCTAATTAGCCCTCTTCTTGTCTTATTTCACAAAGCTTCCTTCCAGCATCACACCTCATTCTGAAATTTCATCTCCTTACTGAGCATAAAATTGGAGTAACATCCATGTCCGGAATTCTTCCCTCAGTCCCTCATCCACAGCTTCAACTATTTCATGGAACATGCTACGTTTGTATGCTGCTATTCCCTAAAAAGGCTCTCAAAATACCCTGTGTTGTATAGTTATCCTCCTCCTTCGTCTTTTGTTTGCCCCAAACCCGTTGCATCTCTGTCATGTTCCTCACTGATAAGCACAAAACCAATATGTTTAATTTATTCTTCCCCTTAATGGCAACTTTTCATCTAGTTATTTAATCTTATCAGATCAATCATAATATTCTCTCAACCACTGTTTCATTTTTAATTATTCCTTCCTCCTATTAAACTCTCAGTAATTAGGCTTTCTCTTCCTCCAATCTCTTCCTTCCCATTATACTCAGCTTTCTTCCCCGAATCTGGGTAAGTCTTCAGTGCCTACATTACTGAGTTCGAACTCTGTAATATGCTGTATTTAAGGCAATCAGAATCTGCTGCAACAATTATTTTTAACCGCATCTCACTGCAGATGCTTTCTCCTGCACCTCTACTCATGAGTATCATTCTATCAAGAATGTTTTCTTTTTAAATGATTGTATGTTGACATTAACTAATATTAATTATTTAAATCCTATTTTATTCACTAATTAAGTAATGTAATATATTGAATGCACTTATTTTAACATACCACGGTAAGACATAGTAAATTGATAATTAATTAAGAACAAAAGCTTTGTTAAGATGGAAAGAAAACAAATCAACAATTAATCAATTTTGTTTGCATAAAAAGTCAAATCTGATTTACTAGAAAACAAGCATCATCTCAAGTAGAATGTACCAGTCATTAAGTAATAATGTTTCATGTAATTTTATATAATTAGAAAAGCTTTGTAAATCTCTCTCCCTTCTTATGTAAAAGTTTTTAAATACTATGCTCCTGTATAAACTGATTTGTGCAGATTTATTATTTATATTTTTTCATTAATTTCATCACAAATCAGGATAAGAAATTTCCATACGAAAGATCATCAATACTCTGTTTCTATAAGTCCTCACAAAAACTCTATTAAAACTATTCTGTGAGAAAACATATTAAGTAAATACTGCTTACTCTTTTAATTGCAACTTTTTGTAGATAATTAAAATGTCAAGGTAGATCTCAAGAAATTCAGCACTTCCACCTGTTACTAAATATGATTAGTATTTTGTTTATAGCAACGTGAGTAAATCATCAATGACTATTCTTTGTCATCTACTCAAACAATGGGATAGTACATGAATGCAAAATTTTACCCTTATTCCACTATTTTAAATAATATGTTATAAAAATTATAGCACTACAAGTTCAAGCATGAAATACTATACATTTACTTAAGATTAGATGCAAACATATTAGCCTTTCAGAAAAACTAAAATACTATTCTAATTTTCACACTTTAGTGAATTCCCTAAGGAACTTTCAGAAGCTACAGAAAGAGTAGGCATGCAGAAACCATTAAATCCTTCCACAATAAGCAATTAAAGGAGTCACTAACCAAACTCTTATTACCTGGTATGACAGCCATCAGAAAATCCATCCCCTGGCTGTTCAATGATAGACCTACCCGGTATTTAAATAGAAGTCCTCCTTGTGCACAGCCAGGCAGATAACTTCACTGATATTAATGGTGCCATTAGGTGTGGCAGACTTATCATTTTCATAGTAACTCAAGAAGCCTCCTTCCAGAACACACCACTTTTTATTTGTCTCTAAGAATTTAAAACAAAACAAATAATAAATTGAACTATATCCCAACGCTGATTTATAAAAATACATGGTTTAAATAATGCCTAGATTCAAATGCATTTATTACTTTTCTAGTTCATGTAAAGAGCATGCTATTGATTCATGAGATATAAAGTTGTCACACTCTGCTCTCAAAACAATTTATAATCTAGTAAGAAGGGACGTGCCAGACAAAAATAACTCTGACACTGATGACCAGTGAAGCAGGCAGATCCATGAAGGACAGTTGCAAAACAACTCTGAAACAGCAAAAACAGAGGCTTATACAGACTCAGGTAAGAAAAAGGATAGGGTAAAAAGTAAGACTAGGCTGACCTTAGGTGTGCAAAGGAAAAAGGGGTCATAACATGCGGTTCCCTCAATGCCTTGATTAGGAACTTAATATTCATCTCGGAAGTGGTCAGTGTCCTATGGCTGGGAGGCCAAAAGGCCACATCCGGACCACCACTTGTTTCTGTAAATAGAGTTGCACTGAAACACAGCCATTCATTTATGGATTGTCGGCGGGTGCTTTCCCCCTACGGGGCAGGTTTGAGTTGTGGCACAGGTTATCCGGCCCATGGAGCTTAAATCTTTACTACGTGGCTCTTTTCAGAAGTTTGTTGAGTTTTGACTTTATAGTTGATGGTGAGCAATGGCAATAGTTCCAGCAGAGGGTTATAACCAGATTTGAGTTTTACACACTCTGCTTACTGTGAACAGTGGATTCGAGAAGGTGAGGCCAAAGGCAGAAAACCAGTTAGCATACTGGTGACAGAAGTCTATCTGAGAGAAGATGACAGCCCAAAGCAGGATTATGAGAGTGCAGCAGCAACAAGAAGAAATGAAGGGGAGAAACCAGGAGGAGGGAGGGAGATAGGCATGCATTGTGTTCTAAGGAGGGGAACATATATTGATTGGGTGCACAGAGGAAGGGGGACTGATTAACAGTTACACAAGGGAGGCGGTGATACCCACTTGTATCTAAAACAAAGTAAAGCACAAACAGGTTTGGTGCATGTACTATGAGTTTCCTTTTAGAACACCAAATTCCCAATACCTTGGGAATCCAAGCGGAAATATATGGCAGGCAGATCGTCCTGTGGATCTACATCTTGGAGCAAGCAAAAGGTCTTCACAACTAGAAAGTCCTTAGAATACAGGTAGTATTTGAAAATATAAGTAACCAAGGATCTAAACTTAGGGAAATTAAAATCGTAAGGACCTGTCAACTATACATCAATAAAAAACATGCATATCTAAAAATAAAGTGTAACAAATGTCGAGGGTCCATGAAAGCACTGAAGCAAACGAGACAGTGTATAGAAAAGAAAAGGGGTAGAGGTTTTCAAAAAGGAATGATTGCCGCTATTAAATACAGCGAAGAGATCTAATAAATAAGGGCTGAAAAATGTCAGCCGATCTTCACGATGCGGAGGTAATGGCCCACTTCACTGAGAAACACCCAGACTGCTGCCCACCGAAGACTAAATGCGATGAGGTGGAAGCAGTCGGATCAATCAATAACCTATCATTGAGGAAAGAGTATGGTAAGAAAAGGGGCAACCAAAAACCACTTACAAAATGAACCAAGGATGGACGATTTCTCTCTCAGAAACAAAAGGGAATAAAAATGAGAATTGGAAAGGGACACTTCAACCTGAGGTAAGAAGATGGACCGTAATGTTATCCCGCCCAGTTCATTCAGGGTACTGAGCGACAGCCTCTCCTTGGCATCTCTGCACTCTCACCCCCTTGTGAAGCCTAAGAAGGTGGAACTGGGAGTCAAAGACTCTGGGTGCTAATGATGCCTCTATCACTAACTAGGGACTCGAAAGCGCTTAATCATGCTGTGCCTTAGGTTCTTCATCTGTTAAACAGGGTAAGAAAAATACCTAATGATCCCATTAAATAATGTCACCCCAAACATTTAAGAAAAATAAAGTGACATTTTAAATATTAAAGTTAAAAAAAGAAAAGAAAAATATCTGACTCATGGAATCACAGTGGTGATAAAAAATAATGCAATACATGTAAAACACAGAGAAAAGTGACTTTATATGGGTTCTTTTACATATAAACTACCATTTTATATGATCTAGCAATTTTTATTCAATATAACCATTTAAAATACTATTTTTCAATATAACCACAATATCTGAGCAATATTTGTATTTGCTCACTGACCCAGTAATGCTGTAAGCTACTTGAGAACAAGCACTATATTTTCTATTCTCAAGAATGACCACACTGCTCAGTCTAAGGGTTCCTGATCAGGGCACATGCCTGGGTTGTGGGCCAGGTCGCCAGTGGGGACCACATGAGAGCCAACCACACACTGATGTTTCTCTCCCCCTCTTTCTCCCTCCCTTCCTCTCTATCTAAAAATAAATAAAATTATTTTTTAAAAAGGTTGTTTAAAGGAAGACAGTGGGCCTGGGAAAAAGGTCATTTCAGGCATGAATCTTTCGGTTCAGGCTTGCTTCAGTCCCACTCGATTCTGAAAATTATGTGCAAATACAAACTATTACCACTGAAGTCTTCAAGTGGGTTATACGTTACTATAGATTCCAAAATCCTTGTGCTTAGCTTACTTCCTGACTACACCCTAGACACTGAAAACAGAAATGCAAGAGCCCAAACCAAAGGGATGAACAATGATTTTTATATAATCCACCTTTGTATTACCAAGTCTGCCTACTAATCTTCATCACTCCTTTTTAATTCCTACTTTAAAAACTAAGACAATGAGCCTTGCTAATTTAGCAACAAAAAATTCGCAATCCCATATATTTCCTAATGAAAGTAACATGTGAAAATTAAATTGTGAAAGATTTGTTCTTTTCTATAGATTTTAATGATGTAATTTAAAGTCCGGTTTGCCAAACAACTAACTCTCTGAATCAGTGAGGGAAAATATTAAAATCAAATGTTTCAAAAAGTAGGGCTAGGAAGGAAGAATTACTTGAAATTTCCAGTTTCCCTAGATAAAAGGAATGTATTTTTAAATGATCACCTCACCACCCTCTTTTGGACTCTAGAGACTGCACAAACTCTCAAGTTGTTACATTAAGCCAAGAATTAAATTACATAAACAGCCCTAAATGTTGCAGTTAAAATATACCTTAGATCTATAGACAGTATAAATAAAGTCTGTAAATCAGGTAATTCCCTATTTTTGATCACTATATTGTGGTATTTCAGAGGAATACTCTTATTTTTACAAAATACAGACTGAGATACTTAGGACTAAGTAGTGGCATCAAGCCTGCAACTTAAGGAATTCTGAAAATACGGATACACATGCCTAACGTAAAATGTTCCTGTTTGCGATGTCCGGTGAAAACCATGTGGGAGCTCTTCGTGCTATACCGGCAACTTTTCTTTAAGTCTGAAGTTATGTTAAAATAATTCAAAATTTAAAAATATTTACTAAGTCAACCTTTACCATTCCCATTATCCTAGGTGAGGTGATTGTGAGAAGCAGAACAAAGAAAACGGGGATGATGTGGTTTAGCGACGAGCACCAGAAACCCTCAAAAGGGAGACACCCCGGCAAGTGCGGGATCGCTGTACTCTGAGAAACTGGCTGCCAGGCAAGAAGCTGAATCCCACCTGGCAGAGGAAAACAGCACCAGGGATCGATGGGTAACTGGGAAAGAAAACTACGGGAGCCCCATCGAGTCCTGCTGGAAGGTGACGTGTATATTGTCCCCCCCCTCCCTCAGATTCAGAGCCACAGTGTATTCTCGGCACAGTTACGGGAAGGTCACAAAAGGCCATTATTTTTAAATGAATATTTATTGCAGATGTCTAAAATATTAAAAAGTCCAGTAGTAATTAATTAGAGTCATAAAATAATTTCAGAACAATGTACTCAGATGCCTAGAGTAACTTCATAAAGAACAAAGCAAAAAATGTGCACTGGTGGAGTGCACAGCCTGAGGGGCGGAGCAGACTGGAAGCTCCGCCCACCGTAATCCCACCCAAGGGGGGCTGAGTTCGGAATAACAACCATAACCACCATTAGGTGGTCCCTTTCAGGGTGAGAATCCACAGAGGGAAGCCATCCTTGGTCTAAGTTGAAAAGAAAAATTTCCCAGAAAAACACAGCTTCTGAAATAGTCATTTATAACTGAAAAGGCATGTTTCTGAAGTAGTGAAAAATTCATTCTGAACAGCAATCATTCCATAATTCTGGGGAGGCACGGCATGAGGAATGTCATGGAAAGGGGAAGCTGCTGAAAACCTATCTGGCCAGAGACTCAGATCACACGTCAAGCAGGCAAAAGGAAACAAGACTGCAGGCTCGCAGCAGAGGCCCTGCCCCAGGAGTGTCACAGGACAGGGGCTCAGGACTTTGTACCTTTCTCGGTAGACAGGTGGGAGCCCTTGGAAGGTCTTAAACAAAAAGTGCCAAACACATGATGCATAAAATAAATGTAAATGCAGAATCCAATTATGCAAATTCTAATGGGGAAAAAAATGACAGGTCTCTTTTAAAAGGTAAGTACAAACTCATTGAGTTGCAAATACAGACTAAAGAAGATTTAGTCCTATAGCATTATCATCACTATAACCCTTGATTAGCTTCATTTTTATAAGTGAAAATGGGCCAGAGGTCAGACAAGGGAGGCACAGATATTACCTGTGAGGATTTATAATAACAAAGCTGTGAAAGCAAATCATGACATTCCTATTCATCTGGGAAGCAATGAAAAGCTTCAATAAAACTGTGTTGTATTGCACTGGTCTGTGTAGACCAATTTAGGCATGCTCTGTAGTCTTTGACCTTGAGAAATGCCAACGCTATTCATGACACCTTGCTGGCTACAGAAGAAGTCTTACTATCATGAAGTCACCAGAAAATATCCAACAGAAACAAAATTGGTGTGACTCTCAATGGATAACCCTCTGAATGCAAGATGTTTCATAGGTAAGAGGTCTTCCACACAGTGACTGGACTGACAAGAGGGGCTGTTCGTTCCTTTTAGTCAATCTTAATGCATAGGTCAGGGAAGACCAGCATTACTAGAACTTACTCAAGCACAGGTAAAGGACTCCAGAGGTAACCTACAGAAATTCGACTATGAAGTGACATGGGTGTACTACATATAGTTGGGTACCTAGGTTGTCTTCTGCGGCCGGTATGTCCCTAAACTCAAGGGCTAACTGGAGCCCAGAGGCAGTCCCTCTGCTGCTGCTCCTTCTGCTCACCATCCCCTCAGCCTCGCATTGACATGCCGTGCATTCCTCCACCCACTCCATGCACATTAACTCCCTGAGTCCTCAGAAAAACCCCATTAGGTCAGTTCTGTCCGTACGTACCCCTTCCTTGTATGCTGTCAACAGGCACAGAACAGTGAATGGACTTCCCCAAGATCACACAAGTACTTAGTATCAAAGCTGGAGGCAGATCCCAAGCAGTTAGTTCACAAAGCCACAGTCCTAACTACTTCACATACTACCTCTCTCTCTGTGCCTGCTACACATCTGAATTATGGCCGATGATTTTTAAACTGTTAGGGTAGAGGTCACATCTTCTAATGCCTATGTGTATAACCAGTCTGAGGTAGTTAAGGTAAAACTTTTATTTTTAGAAAGCAAAAGCTGCTTCCTGATGAAGAATTTCCTAAACTGACAGTATTTAACATCCACTGACCATAACAATATGGTTTTAAATGAAAAAGGGTTTTCATTTTCATTTAAAACCAACGTGTTTCTGCCCTGAACGGTGTGACTCAGTTGGTTGGGCATCATCCTGCAAAGCGAAATGTTGCCAGTTCAATACCCGGTCAGGCTATATGCCGAGGCTGTGGGTTTGGTCCCCAGAGAGGGCACGAAAGAGGGAACCAAAACACTGATGTTTCTCTCTCTCTCTTTCTCCTTCCCTTCCCCACTCTCCAAAATGAAAAATAAATAATCCTAAAATAAAAATAATTTAAAATAAATGTGTTTTATCCTTGGAAAATCTTTTTTACAACTACACAAGCTAGGCATTTATAGAACAACAGATCTTCAAAATTCTTCAGTGCTAATCTATGAAGTTAAGTAGAAACATAATACAGAGTTTCCGGCAAGCCCTATCGATGACTTTCTTTTTAAAAATCAAACACTGCATCAACAAATCAAAGTAAGATGCTAAGGGGGAAAATACGGTTGAGGGGAGAAAACAGAAAACAAAGCCAGGATACTATTATTCAGCTCTATACTTAGGTTTAACACGGGCTATCAATCTTTCTTTTCGTGAACACTAAATCTAGAGGAAAAAGAAAAATACAGATCAGTCTTCATAACCAGAGGCTAGAAGAACTTCAAATCCTGAAAACCTGAACTGACAATTTGAAGCCTCTGTAACTCTCTGAAGGACTGCATGCACTTTATTCCCTGACTTTCTCTTGGTTTTTAATCATTTTGCTCTATGGCGTTTGGACAAGCGCTGATGGAGTGGTCCAGTCCAGGTGCTTGCCATTCAGAGGCAAAGGTGACAGCCGCACTTTAATCTCTAAATCTTTCCATATAATTTATCCTTCCCATAAAGCTGGTGCTCAACAGGAGTTAACACCAACACAGAATCTTGAGGGCACAGAGAAAAAGAAAAAACAAAAACACCAGAACTGTATGCTTTATGGTTCATGGTGGTTCGACTTTTTCTTCCCCATTCTTAAGCAGGCTCTTTCTGAACAAAATAGGTCTCTTGCCAGCAATTATACATTTGAATACACGGGTGAAAAACAAAGTATTAACAAGTCACTTGCACTTTTTACACTGCTGCAATGTGGTTTGAGAAATGGCCATTTCTTCAAAAAATAGTAATCATGTGCCTACTATGCGTTGACATGGTTTTAGACACCAAAGATTTGATAATCCTGAATAAGCCAGAAAATGCCGATGCTTCACTGTGCTTTCACTCCAGAGGGAAAGAGAAACAAATCAAGGACGGAGGGATGGCCTTCACGTGCAAAGTGCTACAATGGAAATAAGCAGCCAACTCTACAAGAGAAGAGCTGGCGGTGGGAACACACTGTGGCACAGTGCCAAAGCAGTCTCGCTGACTGGCCAGCACTGAACTGATCCCTGACAGCAAGCAAAGAGCCAGAATGGGGGAAAGGGGCTTCTTGCAGAGTGAACAGCAATTGCAAAGGTCCAGAAGAGCAGAAGAAAAATGGGGTATGCAGCAGAAACAGACAGGAAACCTGTGTGGCCAGGCATGATATAGCAAAGGAAGGGAGAATCTGAGACAAGGCGGGGTTGGCATGGGGAGGTTCTGTAGATCGTAATAAGGAATAGGGCTATATTCTGGAATGGGAAGCCGCTACGTGTACTTGAACAATGAAAGTACATGATGTGATTCACATTGTTAACGATCCCTGAGACTGATTTCTGGAAAATGGTTAGGAGGGGGCTAGGACAGACATTGGCACGTAAACAAGGAGGCTGGGGCAGCCGGGGCAGGACATGACAGTGGCTGAGGCTGGAACTGTATCAGTGGACATGGGGAGTAGCCAACTAATTGATAGCCCATTTTGATTTTGAAATTATAGACCCTGCCGATGAATTAGATGGAAGAAATGAAGACCATCAAAGAATTCTTTGCCAGGAGATTATTTCCAATGATACAATTCCTGTGTGCTCCATACACACACAAGATTGAAACGTTCGATTCTACATACTTAGAAGAGAATGTTCTAAAATGAGAAAACATCCCTGGTTAAACTGCACATACAGATAATGCACCAGTTTCCACTTCTTGAAATAAATTTTAACAAAAAAGATCTACAGTTAATTTATTAAAGATAAATGGAAGCAATGATTTAAATTACAAGTTTAACACATCAACTCAATTCTCACGTGATTTAGGAAAAAAATCTTTTCCAAGGAAATAGTAAAACTGGTAATTTCATAAATATTATAACACCAATTGTCAAAAATATATATCTTATTTTTAGCCTGCAGGGTGCTTATGATATACTGGAAAAACTTAGGAAGGAAGCCCTGTACTTCAAATTCCCTCTTCTATCATACAGTGGTTTTAAGGACGGGGCTAAAATCTGCTATTCAGAAAAGACACCTAGAAAACTTGTGATGCCTTTAATCATTGCTTTCGTCAATGCAAAGATCATTCAGGTGCCTCCTCCTTCCTGCTCATCAGTCAAGTTTGACTACTTAATGGTTAAACACAGATAAGGAGTAACAGAAGATGAGAAAAATCTTTGTAAAATTTGTCATTTATTATTAAAGGTTTAGGGAAGACCTTAAAAACCAACCGCTGAAAGAACCCAAAACCTCTAAATCTTCAGGATTAAAATGCTCTGCCAGCCCAGAGTCATGGGCAGCGCGCTGGCCAATGCCAGTGTCACCGTAACGACTAGAACACAGTTCAGATGTAAAACTCTGCCTCACACGGAACTCTGTTTCTCATGTGAAAATCAGCACAATAGCAACTATCTCACAGAATTTTTATGAGGATTACAATTAATGTATATGTAAAGTACCTAAAGCAATGCCTTACTATATAGTACATGCTCACTAAAGGGTTGCTACTGTTCTCAGAGAAATCTAATGAAGTATAGTTAATCCCAATGTAATTGTGCTTAGGGAAATACTATTTTTGCAAAACAAAGCATTTGTACTGAAATAATCACTTCAAAAGCATAAGGATCTGAAATAACTCTTTAAAGTGAGTTTTTCATCCTGTTGTTCCTTTGATGGAGTAATACTGCAGGATTATACCACCAAGGGAACTAAAACCGGCTCCTGAGCCTCTGAACGCCCACCATCAATTGGCTGGTACAGCTTAATCTCTCATAAATTCTCTTTGTTCCAGGAAGACGGATCTCGTATTTTCCTGCCTACATTTCTAAAATGAGTTCCCATATCTGCCACGTGAGCACGAGGCCTGTGTCTGGTTCATTTCTGTATTCCTAATGCCTACCTAGCACAAGCCTGACACAAGGAACTGGATGGATAAATGCCTAAGGGACTGCGCCGATAATTCTCCAAACCTAGAATAGGTCGTTAAATCAAATTATTTCCCATCGTTATTTGGAAACCATGCTTAAGCTCTGTTTTACTTACACACACACACTCTGACCATCAGAACAAAATGAACTACCCAACATCATGTAGTATATTCACAGAATACGCACTGAAAGCCAGTCAGTCCTCCCAGTTTGACCTTCACCTCTATTATCCCGCCAGTGAAGGTATCTGTCCCTAAGGAAAGGGACCAAGTCTCCCGTGTCTTTGAGTAACCCTTAAATCCTGAAACAGAATTGGCCGGCTCTACAGGAGACTTCGGTAAATTCCATTGAGCATTCACTCAGCATTCCAACCCAGGGGTAAATCCCTGTTGCAGTGCAGAAAATATTATCTGTGCCTGGAAGCATCTGTAAATTCTAAAATACATATTTCTCTACTACAAGATCAAATCTAACATCTTAAGGGAAAATAGTATCAAAATTTAAACCTAATTGTTTTGATAATGAAATGCAGTTTTATCAGATAACAGAATCTAAAAGAAGCAGAAAAAATACCTTCCAGCAGTTTTTTCTCCACAGAGAGTTTAGGCGCAGCAGAAGGAGCCTGGTACAAAAAGTCACAGAGGAACGCGCACTGGGAGGACTCTTGACTTAATCCACCTTCAAAATGAGTGTCATGTTGAGGAAAATCTAGAGAAATTACAGAAATAATGCATTTGAAATAAAAAATGTCAACAGTTTTCCCTTTGCTTATGAATACGTGAGTTTCAAGCTAGAGGAAAAACTACTTCAAATATACCACAGAATAAATATACACAGATATTTATTTTACTTTGCATAAAACCTGCAAAATAAGCATTTTAAGTGGTATTTATTATTCAGAGATGAAAACTGGATTTAATTTTGGTGAAAACGATCACATAGGATTAACTTTCGATTTACCATTTGTAAGATTAAAGAAACAGAAAAGATGTATTTCCTAACTTTTTCTTAAAATGAAATAACACTGCTTCATTCCAATTAGGGATAGACCCGAAGAAACCAGGCATTCAGAACGAAGGGAGAGGACTGACCTGAAAATTTGTTGTGGTGCAGAAATTCCATCTGCAGACTCTGCCCCGCCTTCTTGGCCAGCAGGTAGGGGGTGCTGTGCACGGGGTCCCCAGTTGCACACATGGCGTCTGCCCCGCTGAACAGCAGAGTCATTGTCTCCAGAACGTCCGATTTCACCACGGCAGCACACAGGGCCTGCTCATTAAAAGAAAACATCCCTGTTAAAGGAAGAAGATACAATTCTGGCTATTACCATTAGTGAGTCTACCAATCCATTCATGATAGGAAGTTTGTATCCATTTCTAACTAAGAAATGTAATTATAAGCATGCCTTGAATTAGGCAATAGGCACAAAAGGCCTGCTTTGTATGCATTTAAATTATAATCCCCTACCTCCAAGTCTCAATTCATTGTTTTGTTTTTGGATGTTCTAAACCTTCCAATCCAGTATATTTGCTTTGGAAGACATTTTTTATACTTACAAACTCTGGTAATGACTGATTCTCAGAAAATTCAAAACATTTCAAATATAATAATGAAGTATCCACTGAATGCTTTATCATACGAATGTTGTATGTACATATGCATGTATTTTCCAGCCTAATCAGGGTCTACAGACTCTTTTAATTATTGTTGTGCTTTGCTAACTTGAAAGAAGAGTCCAATTCAGAATCATTCCTTTTAGGGAACAGGTATGTGGGAATGAGGCCAGTAGCAGACACAGTAAAACATTAAAAAACAATAAAGCACTGAAACAAGAAAACATTACTGACTTATGTTACACGTCGTCACCGCACAGACCTGATGGAACCTGAGTTCTTTTTCTCCTTGAGGTAATAAGCTGCCTTTAGGTTGCTTCTCATCCTCTCTCCCTGCTTCCTCACTTTACTGGCTTCCCATTTGCTTCCGAACCCTCTGATTTTGGCACCCTGATTCCATCTGACTTTAGTCTCAGCTTCACCGTTTACCTCCTTCCTGATATGGTGCAGCTGGATGGATCACTAGTAAACTTGCCCTCTGCAATGCAACCATCACTCACTGACCATCTAAATGGGCAGCTCAGAGTGTGCAGCCCAAAGTCCCAGAATTTTAAATCTAGTATGTCTGCCCACCACACATAGGCCATTAACCGCTACATCAGACTGCCTCTACTCTTACAGCATTTTACTGTGTGTGGTGCAGGTTAAACTGAATTATAATTTTGCCTTCACACCTCTCTGTATTTTGCTGTCTCACCTGTTTCTGTCAGCATTATTCCATAAGCAAATAATTTCTATTAAAAAAAAATAAGAGTCCCAGAACGTCTTCCCAGTTCTAGCCAGGAAGGTCTGCTAGTTAAAAAGTACTTATCTTTTCTACCCCCAGAATTTCCTTCACTTTAGAATCCAGAAACCTGAATTCTTTTACCTAACTTTGCACTAATTATCTAGGTGACCATGTCCAATCCCTCCTCCTCTCTGGGTCTCAGTCTTTTTTCTCCCCTAAAAAAATGAAGGTATTGGAAAATATAAAAGCTAATGTCCCTCCCATTTTTGACTGTCTTCTCAATCTGATCATATGTATTTCTTCTTGCTGTCTCTCTCATCATCCTATTCTTATCGCTTACCTTTGTATTGGCTGTAGTATATTTATTGAAGTTCATCTCCTTATGGTCAATCTCCCTCACTGAGGATCACTCTCATCAATGAAATAAGCACATATTTTTACTGCAAATTGTATCCCCAGCACTAAAAGAATTCAGCAAGTTTTAAGTATGCCATAAAGAACACTCAATAGGGAAAGGGTATTTTCTTCAACAAATAAAATTAGGAAACAGGATAACCACATGCAGAAAAATGAAATCAGACCCCTATTTTATGACACTCAAAAAATGAACTAGAAATGTATTAAAGACTTTAAAGAAAAAACCTGACACTGCAAAACTTCTAGGAGAAAACAGGTAGTAATCTTCTTGACAGAGGTCTTGGCAATGATTTTTGTATATGACAACAAAAATACAAGCAACAAAAGCAAAAATCAGTAAGTGGGACAACATCCCACTTACTCAGTAAGTGGGACAAACTAAAAAGCTTCTGCACAGCAACACAATCAACAAAATGAAAAGATAACCCAATGAACAGAAGAAAGTAATTGCAAACCATATATTGGATAAGAGGTTAATATCCAAAATATATAAAGAACACATACAACTCAATTTAAAAAATCTGATGAAACAGGAGGAGAAAATAACTAGACATTTTCCCAAAGACATCCAAATGGCCAACAGGCCATGAAAAGATGCTCATCCCCAATCATCACAGCAATGCAAATGAAAACCACAAGGAGACACCACCTCACACTTGTCAGCATGGCTATAGTCAAGGAGACAAGAAACAGCAAGTGTTGGTGAGGATGTGAAGAAAGGGGCCCCTTTGTGCACGGCTGGTGAGAATACAGATTAATCAGCCGTGCTGGAAGACAGTACAGAGATTTCTCAAAAAAGTAAGAATGCAATGATCTCATCATATACAATCCCTCTTCTAAATATATATACAAAAGAAATGAAAACAGAATATTGAAAGACACCTGCATCCTCATGTGCATTGCAGCACTATTATTCACAAAACCCACTGTATGGAAACAAACTGTGTTCCTTATTAAATGAATGGATAAAGATGTGTTGTGTACACATAATGGGATATTATTCAGCCATGAGAAAGACGGAAATTCTACTATCAGTGATAACATGAACAAACCTTAAGGGCATGATGCTTAGTGAGTGAGATTAGCCAAAGACGAATACTGTATAATATCACTTACATGTGAAATCAAAAGAAACCAAACTCACAGAAACAGAAAGTGAATGGTGGTGTCAGGGGATGCGGGTGGGGCTGGGCTGGGGTGGGGTGAGAAGATGTCCTGTAAGGGTACAAACTTGCAACTGGTAGGTAAGTAAGTTATAGGGATCTAACGCACAGCACAGTGATTACAGTCAACAACACTGTATCACACACTTCAAAACTGCTGAACCACTAGATCTGAGATATTATCACCACTAAAAAGAAAAAATAGTTATATGATGCAGTAAAGATGTTAGCTAAAGCTATGATGGTAATCATATAGCAATATATGTGTGTCGAATCAACAAAAGAAACACCCGAAATGTGAACATTATATATACATTATATCTTGATTTCAAAAAATATTCAATAAAATATGTTTGGTAAAAATCATCCAGTGACATTACAAGTACCATTTTTAAGAAGCCCCAAGTGGAAGTAAATCCAGTAGGTAAAGTTCCCTGTAATGTTCTTAGGAACAATGTAACAGCTAGTAACTAACATAAAACCCACCTACTGTCTTAGCTCATGAGAAGTCTGTATGTGGCAGATACGACCTCATTCAGGGACATCAGAATTTACCACTGACAAGATTCCCATCACCGTCAAAAAGAGAGAAACCATTGGGAGAGACATGCCCTGGCTCTCCAACCTCATCAATTATGCCCCCAAATATAAACTTACTATTATATATTATTTATTATGAACCTCTAACACACAAAATTAGATTAATTATAACTCTTGGTTTATGATACCCTGTCATCATTATTCCAAACATGCCTGCTATAATTGGTCAGTTATTTTAATAATATAATTAGCACTCATTACCAATCACGATCCAAAACAAAATTAAATATCTTAATAATAACCTATGTAAGTATATGGTTCCCGATTCCCACCCCATCTCCCTGAGGTTTCCTCCCTTAGGTACCTGTTCTGAATCTTGAATCTATTGTGTGTCGCTGCTTTAAACCAATGGGGCAGCCTCACTTTACAAATACCAAAAATATACAAAGAAAAACTTAGTTAATGGGAAGTAAACCCATAGGAAAGAAAGGTAAATCGATTGTATAAATCTTATAATGTCTGCAAAGTATGGAAAAGGCCTTTATTATTTTCTCAGATGTTCGGCATAACACTCCTTACCTGGGGACCCTCATCAAATGAGGCCTGCCCTCAAAAACACACCAAAGAACTGAGAACCATGAAAGAAACCACCTCTAAGCATAAAAACTACAGCATATAAGAGCATATGCTTTAAAAATCCATACATAGGAGAGCCTCCTGACACACAAGAAATGCAAACAGCAATTTTAGAAAGAGAAGGGGACAGGATGCTTAACAAGTCCTCTGCTGAAAGGGTGAAGACTGAGGAAGCAGCCTGCCATGGTCACAAAAAGACCTGGAATGGCTCGGCCAAGGGCAAAGGACAGTTCAAATCAACGGCACTAGACAAACCATTGCCTGTAACAATAAACTGAGTAAATGAGGTTAACTCTGGTGAGAGCAAGTCAGCAACATAAGCGATTAAGTTGTATTTGGTATCAAGTCCCCAAAACAGGGAAAGTGGTCAACAGTTTAAGAATAATGGGACATGCCTAAGTTAGCTGGAATCTCGTGGACAAGAGTTTATCTGCTTTTATGACGACTCCTTATGTGAAACAATGGGAAACCACTGACACCATCTCACAAAAGGAAATAAAATTCAATAATTTTAGCGAACAGCAAAATATTTTTTACTTCTTTCCAAAATTCTTGGCATATATTTAAAAAGATACTACAAATCCATGTCTACTGTTACGTTTCATTGGATACCTTGTTTAATTCTTCCTTGGACAGAGATGCCAAGAGGGTTTTCCGGAATCTTCCTTCTTTGTACTTCTGAGTAATGAAAGTTTTTCTCTTTTCTACAGGGGAGTCCATGTGTAATTCTTCATCTTTTTGAAGATTACCAGCCCAAAAGTCATTTGCTCTTTTGTTTCCAATGACAATAAAAAGCTGAATTATCAAAAAATTATGAAATATATCAGTTCCTAAAATGTACTTACATCTGCAGAAAACTGACTCACATGATAAATTAAAGCATAACAGTATAAAATATGCAAAAATACAAGAAGAATCCAACTCTTTCAGGAAGACGGAGTGTGAAAGAAGATACTATTTATATTTTCAATACCGTCTAGCTGTTTTTAATAATGGTAAAAGATTAGCAAGGAAAGAAATTGCAAGCCACACGAATTGCAGCAGAAGCATTATTATTTCTTGAAGCTCGCATGGAGGCAGACTCATGTAAAAGGGCTGAGAAGGTGGGCTGAGAAGGTGGGCTGCCGTGGTTGAGTGGTGCTGAGACGGAGCGGAAAACGGAGTCGGGAGACAGTGAGTTAAAGAAGGGTGACGTTTGCCCAGTGTTTTCATCACTTTTCTAACATGTTATCCATGCTGAGTTAAAAATAAAGTAAATTCTGGCTTAACAGAAAAGCTGTCAAGATTTTAAAAGTAGTTATTACTATTAAAGCTTCTTGTGCTTTTTATTTTTAAAATAACCATCTCACTCAGGAAGCCTTCTGAAAGTTAAAGTAAAAAGTGGCTACAATGAAACAGGCTAAAGCCATTTTGATAATGTGGTGAGAACTTTCCCAAGGAACTCCTAAACCGCATCCCTCCTCCAGACCTCAGCTCTCCACCAGCACCGCTGCGAGGGACTCACCTCGATCAGTTCATTACTCCAGATGCTCGCATCCATTTTGAGACTTCTAACCTTGGAATCTTTTGGTCCTAAAGATCGATGTTGTCCTGAAATCAAAAGAGCAGTTGCATTTTTATATTAATTTGTATGTAAATGTGTTAAAAAAAAAAAAAAATATATATATATATATATATATATATATATATATATATTAAAAACTGCATATGGATGTGTGCACATATATATTTTTTGAACTTGAAATACACTAACATCTAATTTCCACTCTGGGGTACTAACAGTATTTATACAGAAGTCATAATGAACCACAAAGATGGTAACAACAATGACCTTCATCATCACCCTGCACTGGCCCAACACTATACTCTCACTAATGTGTGTGGCTGTGCATGGGCATGTGGGTATGTATGTGTGTATGTTTGTATGTATGTACATACATACATATCTAACTTTTGCATTATTTGGTAATTAACTGGAAACTGTAGGTCGCTGAAAATATTTTATAATAGGTCTGTGTAAATTACACGGTATGAAAACAGATACCCCTTTACTCTTAAAAATACTAGCTGCAACCCTAACAAATCTGTCCTTAAAGATCTTCAGTGGATTCTTTATTCTACTACTTTACACCTGGAGGAAAGGAACAGCCCAGCATTCTGCTGTTATCAGCTCAATTCTGCTGCGTAAATCAACACTCAGTCCTTCCTGGGCACCCTGGCACAGGTCAGATGTCTCATTTCTAAGCTGAGCAGGAAGAAAGTATACAAGGCGTCATCCTCGATCTTAAGGACCTTTTGTGTAAGAGCATAACGGCTCGTTCCTCTACCAGAAAAGGTCCCTTTCCTCTCCTCTTTGAGATGGAAACTACTCAGAAGACAAGCCTCAAAAATCTCAGGGCAGGAATTTGCACAGGTGTGCATTTATAAACCCTACCAAAAGGCAGTAGGGGTCAAACTGAGAACTGGGTCGGAAGAATCAGACAGTGTTCGAGTAGCCTGTACAAGAAATAACAGAATCCTAGCCGAAGCGTCAGAGAGAGGAACAACATGGAGGGCAGATTCAGAAACACTGCAAGGAGAAACCAACGGGACTTCGTGGACTTCAAGGAAAGAGGAAAGGGTCCAGAGGGTCTCTCAGGTTTTAAGACTCAGTGCAGGGTGGACACTATCGCTTCTGCCAAAGCTCCGGAACATAGGAGAACGTACGGTTTTATGTAATGAACTGCACACCAGCAAGAGCTCCATTTTTGACATGCTATTTTGGAGGTGTCTTGGGCAAATCCAAGCAGAGATTCTACTAGGTAGATATAAGAGCGTGGTTTCCGACAAAGTCATCTGCATAAAAATGAGTGTTGAATTCAAATGATAAATATCATCACTCAGGAACATCAGCGTGGAAGGGAACATACATGTTTCAGGAGCAGGCAGAGGAAAAGCAGCCTGAAAAAGGATGACCAGAGTAGGAAGAGCACACCAAGAGGAAATGGTCTCCTAGAAGTTGAGCGGGGCTGGGAAGTCCTAAAGCAACAGGCTGATCATGAGCGTTCAACATGGCAGAAGATGATAAAGACAGCAACTGACTGCACAGAAACTAAGAGGTAAAAATACAGTGGTAAACATGGTGAAAATATTTTTACTGGAAGAGAGAGAAAAACAAGCTGATAACAGATACTAAAAAACTTGGGAAGTTAAAGACATGAAGAAAACCTGTGCAGATCACTGCTCTTGGAAGTATTTGTCTATTAAAGAAAACAGGGACTAATCGATACACAGAAGGGAATGGTAAGTTTTCGGAAAGCTGGGGTTACCAGCACAGAGTAGGGCAAGTTTATCTACGGAAACAAAAGAAACCATAGTTGAATAGTTTACACAGACAGTTAGTGATGGAGCGAAGATCCCAAGAAGAAAGGAAAAAGGAAGTTTAACAGCTTTGGACAACACAAAGGCTATCTCTTCCTCAGACTGGAGAGGAGAAACTGATAGGGAAAAATGCAAAGTAGAGGGTGATTAATTGATGCTTTTTGTTGTTGCTACTGATATTGTTAACGAGGTCTTTGGGAAATCCACACTACTGTGAGGAGAAATGATGAGCACAGAGCCCTGGCATTAAGGGTTTGAAGGAACGCTTGTCTGGGCTCCAGCTGACCAGGGTGCTCCTCCTCCAAGTCTCTCAATGAAACCTGTTCTCCACCTACTCTGGTCCTTAGTATCCCCTGTGGTAATTACTATTTATATGTTACTGCGGAAATGCCATGTCTTATACATCTTTTTAATTCCTAGGAACAGCACAGTATCTGGGAGAGCAAAGACATGAAGTAAGGTTTGCGTCGTGGCTAACATTCCCCAAGGGCTCCATGGTTACATACCCAGTGGGGTCCGTGCCCTCCATTCACCTGCACAACTGTCTGAGCTCCAGATACAGTGAGCTGTCAAACTGTAAGGTGGAAGGTCACAATAGGAAAACCAGGCCCAGCACTGGTTTCTTTCATAAACTCCAATACACTTGGAAAACGCTTCTGTATAAAAATTCTCATTATAAGAGGTACCACATCTAGTGTGCCAAGCTTAGAGCTTAGAACAACAACCTTGAAGTGAAAAGCAGGACTTACAAAGCATAACAAAAAAAAGATGAATCATACAAAGAGCAAGAGTGTTCAGGGTGCATTCTGAAACACATCTACCTAAAACCGAAGAATGTCAACAGTGTCTTTTTAAAATCCATGCATGGGCCAGTAGGCACAAAAAATGATTATGGGCTTAAAAGTCAATTTTTATATCTAAGCCATGCATAAGAGAAGTTTAGAATTACATTTCTGAAATTGATTTAAATGTGATAAGCTTTCTGTGTTTTTATTTTCCACAACCATTAGCTGGGACGCGGTGTATGACAGCAGAGAGCTCTCGGTGCCGATCTGCTGCCCAACGGTGATGAGCACAGAGTGATTCCTAATTACCAGCACACTTCTTGCAGATGACGACACAGAGATTGATGGATGCCCAGTCTGGGTCAGGGGCTTTGCAATCGGCGCAGCTCCTGTTGGACTCGTTGAACCAAATCTTCTCAGCCACTTCGTAATCGGAGAGAGTTTCCGCAATCGACTGCTGCACAGCTTCGATCCACTCCTGTTTCTCCTTCACAGATTCGGCTATGAAGCTGCAACAATGAGCATGTCTGCATTACCAATTTCCCTTGCGAAGGCCAATGAAGCACAGGGTTCAGCCTGCATATTCATTTCAGTCACAAATTAAACAGCAGCTGAAAAACATACCTTCCAGGCAGTTGGACAGTCTTTTTCTGTTAAAAATCATCTAATTTAGAAATCTATGTTTTTCCTTTAGCTTTTCCCATGGCTTATGACTCTGTTTACATATGTGGAAACAAAATTAACATACATATTTTTCTGACCAGGATATACCAATTGTTTTGTTAGGTAAAAAGGTTAAATGAGAGCCCGTGTTTTCGAAGCAGTGGTTATATAACAATCAATGGGAGACTGGCAGAGTTTCAAAGCTATAGGATTATTTTGCCAAGAAAGAATGTCATGATGTCTGAAACTAAACAATCAAAAACATGTACCAGTATTAAAAATAGATTCTTTTTTTTAAATTAGAAGAATGTACAGATGGCTTTAAGAAACTGAGAAATCAAAAAGTTTAAGTGATTACCATTCTAACAGAATCCTAGGTCATTTTTAGCCATATTTTGATTTATTCTAATTCTTAGTGTCTACTGGGTGCCTGGGTGAAAGAACATAAAATTAAACACCAGTTTCTTAAGCTCCTTTAAGAAATTTTACTGGGCAGCTGCAACATGGTGGGGAAAGCACCACAGTGTTCCCTTCTCAGTCAATGACCCAAAGCAACTCTCTGCATCAAAATGTTCTGTTCTAAAGATGAAAATGCTTTGAAATATAATGGAAATAACAGATGACTAGCATATTCTAAATAACCTATAAGGAAAACAAGTGGCCTAAGTGGATTTTTGGTGAAGTTCTTTATGGTTGCAGCATCAAGATAATATTTAGAGGTTTCTTAGTGGTTTCTGCTTCTCCGTAGAAAGGAACAAGGGAAAACAGACGTCAGTCTTCACCCCTGGTTCCTGGTACAGAGCTCAGAAACCACAGAACTGATACAAAGTGTCTTTTGTACGCTGACAAGCTCCCCTGTGGCTGGGAGCCTAGAATGAAGCAGGACCCAGAAAGACCAAGATGTGGTTCCAGAGTTGGAACTTTGGGGAGCCAGCCCCATCCCTAATGTCCAGCAAGCAGGAGGGCTGGCAGTTGAGTTAATCACAAAGGGCCGAGGATTTCACCAATCACAACCTATGGAATGAAACCTCCGTAAAACCCCCTAAACAACTGGGTTCACAGAGCACCCGGGCTGGTGAACACACTGAGCTGCTGGCTGGCAGGGCCACACACCCAGAGGGAGCCCAGAAGCTCTCACCATTGGTCCCTTGTACCTTGTCCTATGCCAGCCTCCCATCTGGCCTTCCCTGAGTTGCATTCTCTACAACAAACTGGTAATAAGAAACTACTTCTCTGAGTTCTATGAACCAACCTGGGGGAAAAGTGGTCCCAGGAACCCCAATTTATAGCCAGTTTGTACCCAACACTTGCAACTGGTGTAGAGAGGACCACCTTGTGGGACTGAGCCCTTAAAGGCCTGGGGGTCTGGGGGCTGAGGCTCCCTCAGTCTGAGGCTCACTGGGGTACAGCAGAACCTAAGTGAACTGGGGGACACCCAGCTGGGGTCCAGGGAGTGGGAGAGTGGGCTGCTCTGAAGAAAACCCCAACCTATTTGGTGTCAGAAGTGTGGTGGATAAAAACAGGTGAGCCAGCATCTACATTTTCAGTTGAAGCATAAATCTGCATATGTGAAAATAAAGCTTAGTACTCTTCATTCATCTTTTGTTAACATTTGAGCCAGTAGACATATTTTGACAGATCGATTAAGTACCAGACTTGGTAGTGTTTTTGAAATCGCTAAGTAATTGTTAGTCCTTAAAGGCCTCCAACAATCGCATCTGACCTTTACACTGCCTGGTGGTCTGCTGACTATTTGTGACAAATGAATTCACATGTTTGAACTCATCAGATACTGATTTAGACCTCTCCTGTGTATTAACACTGTGGAGTCGTTCCAGATTACTTTAACACATACTAAGAGCATATATTAAGTTTTACATTTCACTATCATAATGAATGATTCCTAGAATACTGTAATACAGGATATACAACAAAGTGCTAAAATATCCGATCAGTAAGTGCTCAAAGGCCTGTTAAATTCAGAATCATTTTAAGCTAAAGTTCCCTTTAGGAAATCATTACAGAGCATTTATAACTAGGGATTGATCTTAAAGGAGGGAATGTATTCGATTAAGCTAAAAGAAAGTAGTTAACACAGCTTCAAGACAAGTTAATTTTCTTTTTTCTTTTATTCCTTCAAAATGTGATATACATTTTCATATTATGTTAATAACAAAAGAAGAACATGCTCACTAAGCTTACTAAGAAAAAGAGGTATAAAGAAAAGAAACCACTCAAATTTCATGAAATTAGTATCTCTGTAGATTCTGTGATTATTCAGGTCATTTTTACAAAGTGTTTACATATATTGGCCAAGAAATTAAACATCAAGGAAAAGTAAAATACTATTTTATTAAAAGACCTAAGGAATAAAATCACCACTAGGAATGGCTCTTCAAAGCTTTCCTACAGTTAAGTGTAGAGACAGAAAATGTTTAAATATAACTTACCTAAAACTTTTATAGGGAGTGATTATTTCAAAAGACTGTTTCACAGTTCGATCCACTTGCTTTACATTTGCTACATTCATAGGAATTGTGGTAATACCAAGTCCACTCTTAAAATCCTAAAGAAAAATATAAAAAATGACAAGCAAAAATATGAGTTTGAAAGTACAATTATATTCTCTAAAACCCAATAAATCCTACTAAATTTTACTATACACATCTATGGAATTAAACAAGTCTTTCAAAAATATGCATTGAGTACTTTTCTTATTTCAGGGGGTGACTTTCAATACGTGAGAACAAGGAGCCATCCTGAGAGTGGGCTGTCCCTAAAGTGTGGGTTTCTCCACCTGGAACGTAAGCTGAGGAGGACCTAGATCTCGAGCTACACATGCCTGGCTCTTTAAAAGCTGGCACTTTCTCACCTTTATTACCATATGCCCAGCAGTTTCTAGGTCTGCTAGCAAATCGCACTGTGTGGTCACTACCATTCCTATCTGTGGGAGGAGGAGGAGAGGTCAGGGCTCAGAACGACCGCGTCACGTGGACAGTGGAGGTGTGCGCGGTGGGGAGGGGCTGAAAGCCAGCCGTCGGCCTGCTCTTCTTTTGTTTTACTGTATGATGCCAGTTCTGCTGTCACATAATTTGTCTCGTTTACTCTCCAACACAGGCGCCTATTTTATAATTTTATCTCATGTCCAGGATTTTATTATATTCCTCTTTCTTCAGTTAGACTCTGAAACAGCTCCTCTGCTGCTATTTTGATATGAAAAGTGCTTTCTGTTCAGCACCTACAGCCACAGTGTCTGGTGTGCCCTCACCAAAATTAGAAATTTTTCCAAAAGCTACAGCCTGCATTTTAAAAGCACTGAAGGCTGCAATATGTTGTCTGGTCATAATGGCTTGAGAATTTATCAAATAAATAATGTCAACATGGTAAAAACACAGAATCTGTACCTCAAAAGATGAAATATCTACGGGGACAGATGTGGCATGAATGTGCTCTCAATCCCTAACTTAAATGATGCCTGGGAAAAGAAGCCACACAAAAGGCGGACGACAGAGAGCACTGGCCCGCTTGCACTGAGGACACTTCACGCAAAGACTGGGAAGGTGACAACTCCCAGGCTGCCTGCCTTCTCTCAGTCTCTCCTGCTGTGCAGATCAAAGGGAAAAGTACCATATTTCCCCCTTTTCCTCTACAGGTGGGAGGGAGGGGCCATATGTCACAGTTTTGGTCAACAAAATATAAATAATTCCTGGCCTGGGTGGAAGGGTAGAGAGAAAAGCTTTGGGAAAACAAAGACTTTCACCCCTTGCCTTCCCATCTTCTTGGGAAATAACATCGAGACGCAGAGAAGCCGTGACAGAATGTTAGGATCCTCCTGGCAAGAAGCCCAAGGACAAATTCTTGCACTTCCAGGAGGCCAGAGTGAGTGAGAAAACGGAGAGAGCCTTGTTCCCTGGGGGCATCATCGCTCTGCACTGCCTTCACCAGGGATTTGTCGAAGCAAGTGAATCCCCGCCCACTGAAGCTGCCCTTCACGTTTCTGACTCTGGTGCATTCCTGACATAACAGTAAGTGAAACAAAAGAGTATTACAGCAGATCCTCCCCCACTTGTAGAGGTATATAGAGTTTTCATTACAAATTGCACAACAGTCTCGTTTTTTTAAGTGTACAAGTTTTTGGTTAAAATAAGACAATGATTCATAAAATAAATCATCAATTAAACACTTCTTTTTCTGAAGAAAGAACAAATGGCTCATTTTGCTAGGGGAAACAGCCAGAAGTTGAGAGTCAGTCATATAAAAGATACAGAGACATGTGAAGTATCATAGAACAATTAAAATTGCATGGAGTACTTCCACTTTGTACAGTAAGCCCACTTAACAAAGATTAGCACTTCATAAGACCTATGTGGATAGAGAAGGCAATCGACGTTTTCCAACCTGGCCCATTTTAATATTTCAGCGTACTGGTACAGTGTTATGCTTACTGACTGAATTAAAAACAAATTCTCAATTATCCATACCAATGAACCAGCCGGATAAGGTGACTGGCAGAGAAACCCCCAGTACATGTGAGTGGAAACTCTGCCCCCTTTCACAAATGAGGAAGTAAAGAAGGGGTAGCAAGATAAGAAATTTTAAAACAGATTTCTAAGCCTAGAATAAAAGAGTTAACTGCATGTCCTGCCAGGAACTGGAGAGCAGGTCACACTGCGGGTTGTACTCTCTGATGGGGGTCTGGCCTGAAGGCGCCCTGTGCTTCTAAGGGCAGAGCTCACTCCGGCCAACGGACCAGTGAATGGTCAAACTGACAACCTTTATGGAAATGGATGGGCCACATCAAGCCTCCAGCCTGACTAGATGGCACCTCATTTCTACAAGCAAGTCATGAAAGGTCTACAAAACCAAAATTTCTGTTAAAAACAAAGTAAGTAAAGGTCAGTTCAAGGCCTCAGACTTATTCCGAGCAAGGCAAAGATGACTTTTTAGCCTGAAAAATAAATTGCAACCCATTATCAGCCGCCTGTGTTATGGCTGTATGGTTTCGAATGTCCACTGAGCTCACCAGCACAAATGGACTGTGAGATGCATCACAGAGGAACAAAACAAATGCCAACGCTCTCGAGGGCTGTTAAATAGGAAACAACTGTGGTCCTTATTGAAAATACTTGTGGTGACAATAAGCCATCTTTTCAGCCAGTATTTAGGACATATTTAGAATTTATCTCATTCCTTGATGCTCATTGAAGTTACCTGTGTTGTTCTAATCCAACCCCCAAGATTCTGGTTCCGAGAATGAAAAAGCAGGGCCTACAAATCTTCAGTTAAAAAACCAAGCAAAATACAGCCCTGCGAGCCTCACATGTAGCCCATATTGAGAAGCACTGAATTACAGAGCAGAACCAGTTGTGGAATCTCGACAGTATATGAATCTGCAGTGTTTAAGTACAGGATATAAGTACTTTTCTCTGCCTTCTGCACAGCAAAAAAAGCAAGCAGTCATATCAGGCAGAAATTATTTGAAATCAGTAAGACTGCTTAAACACAGACTGGCCAGAACTCAGTGATACACTGGGTTCCATCAAGATCCTGGGGGTCCTGGGCTCCCACCCCTGAGTTGATATCCAGAGGCCGTGAGAGCCTCAGTCTTCATCAAGCCTGTACAGAACACTCCCTAATCAAGTCGGCATCTATCTGTGCAGTGCCCTGAAGCTGACAAACAGCTGGGAACGCTCATTTGACTGAATAATTCTGGAAAGAAAGCAGAGCAGAGAGACCCTTTTTGAAATAGGGAAATGTGTCTTGGCAAAGGGTGTTTATTAAGTGCTTAGCAAGTACCAGCCATTGGGCCAAGTCCTGGGTCCATCCCAAAGCATAAGACAGAATATCAGCCTTGGAGAAGATTCAGCCAAAGGAAGGAATGAGAGAATTGTAACAAGTCTGTGAAAAAAAGAGTGCAGAGTGCATAGATGCCGGCAGGGCAGGCACCAAGTTCAGCCCAGAAACGAGAGCTATGTGCATAATAGGCTCTGACACTTGACTGGACAAATGACAGGACCCAGACCAGCTGGCTACAATGCACCTCTCTTGCTTCAGTTCACTCATTTGTGAAATGGAGATAACAGTAGTATCCATTGCATCACTCTGGGGAGCATTCAATCCATACATTAAAAATGCTTAGAAGAATACAGTAAGTGCTACACGGTCCCATTTAGCAATTACGATAATCCTTATTATTATTGTTATGTTCTACCTTTTTAAGTCTGAAGCGAACTGAACATGTTCCCTATTACAAAGTTAATTACAAGAATATATATATGTATCTAAATAATGAGAATGTGTACATTTTAAAAATGGGATGTACTATGAATTTACAAATTCTCACTTACAAATGCAGTATGATGTAATATGTAAACTTTCAAGAAAATTTAAAATAACAACCCACTACAGGTGATCGGACTGTGAGCACTATTCCCATTTTGAAAAACAGGCACAAGTCAGGAAGAAGCCAGACTTCCAACCTTTAAAAGGCTACAGACTGCACGGAAAACAACAATACCACAAAAACTAAATGGCTAGAATATTATTATAGAAAACAGAAAGCCAAAAACCAATTCAAGAGTAAACGATGTTTTGCACGAAGTTTGTGGTCAGACAATGCAGGATCTCAGAAAGTGTGAATCCCACCATGGGTACCGCTGTGACGACGGCCGTGGCTGCACATCGGCAAAGGGGCAACAGCCAAGAGACCCCAGGAGTCAGGCCTGGGGGGCAACCTTGGCTGAGCCGCTCACTAGCTGGATGACTACTGGCAAGTTAGTCAGTGTATCCAGGCCTCGATTTTCTCATTTCTGAAAAGACAGCATTATCTACGTTATATAGCAATGTTATAAAAATGGTGAATATAAAATCAAGGTTCTGATACATCCAGACAATCCTCTGAGTTGAGGGTTCTAAAGCCAGAATTGGTCTGCAGTAAAAAAACTTTCCACTTTATTTACAATGACTGAAAGTATTCACACCAATGATCCCATATTAAATATCCAGATTATAATTAATGGTAAGTATTCACCAAGATGCTGAAATGGATTATTTGTACAACTCTGAAGCAATAAAATCTACTTGAAACTACATTTTAAAACTATATAGTGAAAGCTGCAAAATAAAGATTGATTCCTAAACAGAACAAATAAAGGAGGGTTTATTAACCCCAAATTTGCTGAAATATCAAACCTATTTTGGGAAATACTGGATGCCAAGTTTCCATGCCAGGAATTTTAGAACTTGGTGCTTAAACATTTGTTGAAAACAGATGTGGCATTGTATGACATTGGCACCCGATTTCCTGGGGAATACCAGATGCAAAGTTTGGCCAGAGACAGAACCCAGAGAATCGAGGCCACCAACTCCATCCTGCTGCTTCTTTCTGCACCACACACCCCACAGCCCTATGAGGTCTATTTAAATTCTATCAGAGTTTCAGTCCCATGCCAGACAGACACCAGGGGACATAATGCGGGGAGAGTGAGGGGGAATGAGTCTCTTGTTATGTCCTGATTTGAGAGTGTTTAATCGGGTACATTTATGCCGTTAAAACCTCAATGCCAC